CCACCCCCCCTCCCCCTGCATTTTGATTCCTGATAAATCATGGAATGAGGACCCAGGTTTGTTAGACGTTCACCACTAATCCCATACATTGGTTCACTGATCAAAAACATTAAGGCTACAAGGTTCAAATATCAATAATCCTTTGAAACCTGGATTGAATACTTTGTTTTTGACCAGTGAAACAATTTATGGAAAATGGTAAATTAGCTATTAAGTGCTACCCTTGCAAAGCAAGGCTGATCAGGGACTGCTACTGTCTTTTGACTCTGACTCTGAAATTATTTTGCTACAAGGATGATTTTAATACAACTACAATAATATGCTTGATACTTATACTACTTATAGATTGCAAGACGAACCCCTGGTATTTGTTACTATTTTTTATTTTAGCTTTAATTTATCTGTGCAGATGCATTTATCATCATCTTTATCATTATTACTTTCATTATTTAGCTGTACCTGCATACACTTCCAAAGGGACTGAAATGTAATTTAATTCACACAAGTCTGAGTCTGAGATGTTAGTTAATTTATGCAAGGCTGAGTCTTGGTCAGAAGATTTGGCACATACATCTTAGTACTTGATAACGGCATTCAAACACTTGGTTTATGATCTTTGTGATCCACTCCAACTGCTTCACTAACAGAATTGAAACCATCTTTCCTAAAAATAAGATATTTAAGTCAGGTTGGTTGAATTAACAGATGAAAAGGTGGGAGGACTGACAGATGGGTGGGATGGAGGACACACTGATGGATGTATAATATGGTTGGATAGTTGGACATGGATGGGTAAACATGGAAAGTTGTATGGTAAGGTGAAGCAGACTGATGGATAGATGGTCAAATGTAAAAGTGGGTGGGTGGGATGGAAAGAGATTAATGAATGGATAGGATGAAGAATGGATGAGGAGATGTCGATAGTCAGAAAAAGATGAAAGATTGGATGCATGGTTACCAGGAATGCATTACAAGACAAAAAGCTTATTTGAGAAAAAAATCAAACAATACAATGATAATTATTATAAAACGATACTAACAAAGGTTTTACTGTTTCAAGAGAAGTACAAACCTGAGAAGGTCTGCAAGCTCTTTCTTTAATCTCTTGACTAGAGGAGGGCCATGATAAGTAAGGGCTGTATACAGCTGCACCAATGATGCACCAGCTTTTATTTTGTCATAAGCATCTTGGCCAGATGAGATTCCACCCACTCCAATAATTGGAATTGTTCCTAAAGAACGAAGGAAAAACTTAGACTGGAAATATGATATATAAATGGTAAAAAATTATGCCCCAGCCAAAATGATCTGTTATCATAGCAGGAAAGAGTCTTCATTGGAAAAAATATTGATCTATATACTGACCTTTTGTTAATGTGTACATATCTCTGACTAATTCAGTGGACATTGTCCGGAGTGGTTCACCACTTAGTCCTCCTGTTTCTTTCTTATTTGCACTTTGTAGACTTGGTGGCCTTGATATAGTGGTATTAGACACAATAATACCATCGATATGATGCTAAAAAGTATAGCTAAATCAATTTGGTTCATCATAGAGTCCTGAGAGTTGGACAAGGGCTAGCAACCCTTCCCTGTAAAAACTAAAACCACCACAGAAACATCACCAACAGAGAAACAATCAGAGAATCTAGTCCCAGATTAAGGAGGGACTTCCTATGGATAAAAGATGTTGTTGATGGCCTATACCTCACAAGGGGTCTACAGGTTTAGGAGGGGGGGAGGAGTTTCAATGATCATATTTAAGACAATTCTTACATTAGGTCTGGTGACTACAGCAGCTATATCCTCTTTATCTTGTTGTGTGAGATCTGGTGCTATCTTGACCAACAGTGGTGGCTGATTGGATGGTGGTAATGAACTGCGAGCTTCAAGAACCTATTGTATAAAACACACATTGAAATGAAAGAGTGCAGTTTTCAGAGCTTTCTGGATAATGAGGGGTTTTAGGGCCTCCATGTTGTAGTATAAAACAATTGAAATTTTCTCTTGTTGTGAACCTATAATGTTGTATTGAGATTCTCCTATAAGTTTGATTTGGAGAGAACCACCAATATATATAAATACACATAGTTTGTCAGCTCTGAATTACCTCATGATACGAGAATTGCTTATTTTATAGCTACACAATACCGGATGTATTTTCTCTCTGGCTATCAATTAGCTGTCAATATAAATCAGTCTTGGCTGCTCAAAATCGCAATAAATAACTTATAATATGTGTTAAAATTTCTTTAAGATAGTAACAACAAATACTGCGGAAATCCTTTCCTGTTCTCCATTCTGGCAAAGCTCCCAACCAGACTGCTTCTCCTGCCTAGGGAAGAAGAAAAACAACCTCTTCTTGCAAGGCATTATTTGATTACCTTATCTATTAAAGCAGCCAGCATTTCTCTGCCTTGCATAGCTCTAAGTCCAGGAGTATTTGGAGATGAAACATTTATCACAAGATAGTCAGCCATGGGACCAAAGACTTCTACACCTTTAGTGTAATCTAACACTGCATCCTCTGAAGTTTTATTCTTTCCCAGGTTGATGCCTAAGATTCCTTGGTTGAGTTTCACCCTGTGTCGGTGCAGGTTTTGTTTTACTATTTCATGACCTTGACTGTTAAATCCATACCTGACAAAGAATAAAGCAAGATTAATAGACCACTTTACCTTCAGTGTAATGTTATTTTTTCATTTCAGACAATGTGTCATTCTCTTGAGAAACATTCTTTGTTTAAGTTGTTTATCCATATTCAAGTATTTTCTCATGTGCAACCGTTAAACTAAAGAAATAATACCCCAGGGAATTACATGTGTTCTGGAATGGGGAAAGTTATGCCCAAGGTCTATTAACATGTAACTTAATTTACTTCCATTACATCAGATACATAAGCAAAGGTGGGATAACAGTAGTACAACTGCCTCTAACCTCTGCAGGTGTTTCAGGTTCAATTCCTGAGCTAAGAATCAGAGAGTTTGTTGGACCAGCTCTTCCTTGATTCAAGGGTTTTTCCCAGGTCCTCTGGTTTTTCCCCTTTTAAGAAATGGGGTGCAAACAATTATTTAACACTAATTACTAAATAGTACAAAATAGTGCTAATTAAACAATAGAAAACAATAGAATTTGCATGAAATTGTGCTATTTAGTATTACTAAAGTTTCACAGTTATATTGTTTGCACTCTATCATCAAGTAAAACATTGGTGGTTCAAGATACCCAAGGCAAAACTGGAGTAATGTATGGCCTCAAGTTTGAAATACCTGGTGTTCAAGACAAGAGGAATCCATTTTATATAAACCTTATTCATGATATAATACCTATTTATGATGGCTTTATCCTCATTTAACCTAAAGACTCTTGGTTTCTGATTACCAGGTTGAGGCTCTGGGGTAATACTACCGATTTCCACAAAGCCAAAACCCATTTTCACCAGTCCAGAAACAGCCTCACCCTGTTTGTCAAAACCAGCAGCTAACCCTACAGGATTGGAAAACTGTAGCCCAAATACCTTGGTGTTCTGAGGAAAAATTGAAATCAGACTATGATATAGCCATTCACAATATAATGTGTAATCTGATTGGCTGGTTATCTATCAACAAGAAATGGATAATGCATATGCATGCAGGTGTTTGTAGATGCTCATGCAGGCACTGCAACGTCAAAGATAGTTTTCAACCATTTCCTGATACATACTGTCTTTCAGGATACAAAGCATTTATACAATCATTGTTTTTAAATATTTTTWAAAATTTCTGATGGAAAATAGTTTAAGTAATGGATGATGGATGAATGAATGGATGGATGGATGAATGCATGGATAGATGGATGAACGAATGAATGAATCAGTGCAAGCATGGATGAATGGATGGAGCATGAATGGACTGATGAATGGATGAATGAATGGATGAATGAATAGAAAAAATAAGTTACATAATATTTTAAATTTTTTCTGCTCTTAATCTTCCTACCAATATTTCAGGGTCTTCATCTCTATCACTAGGCACTAATCCATAGGACGCCATTTTTACAGCCAAAAGATGAGCTCTTTCAGCATCCAGTAACTTGATGACAGGCATTATAACATTTCTATAAAACTGTTCATCTCCTTTGACGGTGAAATACCCACAAAATAATGCACTAGTACAGCCAACGAGAGCGATACCATGACGAAATATGCTTCTTAAGACTTTACTCTTGAAGGACGACTGAAAGAAATTTCCTTGGTTTCAAGTTTAAATCATCAAAAGAAGAGTCAAGCCGTGTTTAAATAAAGCTTCATCCTTAACTTACCATAGTCTTTTGAAATATTTTAAGGGGTTTTTGCCAATTTATTTTCAAGTTTTTGACTTTTTTTATCTCAAAAAGTTTTACAAGCATTTCTGGCGGCCATGTCGAATCGAAGAGAGAACACAGGGAGCCCAAGACAAACATTGCTCATTGCCAGAGAATCTCCCCCTCCCCCTAAGATTTTGTGCAATCTCAGTGCACTCTCCATCCAATCAAATACCCGGAACACGGCATAAGCGCGGACACGGCACTGTCAGACCAATCACATTGCGCGAGAGAAAAAAATCAGCCAATGAAAATCATAGAAAATCACGGTCACAGCACAGCACGCTTTCAGCACTTAGCTTTTAACAGTCATGTGCTGTACCTTTTAAAGTAGCATTGTATAACAAAACGTTATTTGACTTATTATTTATCATTATTTTTTATGTGAAATGGCCATTTTTTCCCAGCTAAAACTTCCTTCCCTTCCGACCCACAAGGATTGTCAACCGGACCCTCCCCACCCTAGTTAAAATGTCTTTGTTTCCCAAGATGCAATTTGAAATACACCTCTGTTTATATTCTGCCATTCGCTAGTTGACTCAAGGAGGAAAAAAATACAAGGTACGAATATGTTGATCTTATTTCTTCTCGATCTCTCTAGTTGCACGATCCTTTTAGCTTGAAAATGGGGATTAAATGGTTAGCAAAAACAGCCAAAGATTCTATTTTATCAAGATTAAAAAAGAGCAAGATTTGAAACCGCTTATCATGCAAACGGCAGACTGCCATTTTGAAAGGCACTTACGAGCATATTTACAGCTTTTTAAACTATTATGAACAGTATTACGGTATTTTGATCTCGTAATTGTTGATTAAGGATCGTCTCAAAGAGATTATAGGCCATTCTCTTGTTCTGTGGCATTGTAGATTTGAATGTTAACGGCAATAATTTAGAACGACTTTCCTTGATAGCTTATTTCACAGCATAATTGATTACCACGACACAGTATAAATTAACTTCACATACTTGTCTTGTTGTACTTATTACATACTGGCATTCACTACATTGGAAGCCAAATTTTGCCCTCTCACTTACCCTGCTAGCGGTGGTCTTCGTGCTCCTTTTCCTCGCTGTTTACCTCATATCACGACAGTTGCAGATCTTATCCCATAACTTTACTACTGCTTTTGATTTTGCATTGAAGATATAGGACTTTCATAATGTCAGCAGTTGAATGTGTAGTTCCAATAATTATCCATACACCCACCATGTAGGAATGTTTTTTCGGACCCCCCTCTACCCCTGGAAATTCCAATTTTCTTCCATACAAATTCTGGGATTTTTGTTCTTTCTCTGACTCCCCTATCCTTCAGAATGGACTGTGGAAAATTTTTGGAATTACACAATAGCATAATGATTTTTTTGAAAACTAAGTATTCACAGCAGTGAAAGAAAGCTTCTCATAAATACTGCTAATATTTTCATATTATTAGATGCAACAACAACAACATCCTGCAGGCCGGCAAGTTGGTGGAAGGATCTACTATGGTTCCTACCATGGAAGAGAAGTTCAGTGTAAAAAGTGTCTCATGGTAGCATTCACCATACTGTTTATATTGATTGGTGTTATAGTCACAATAGTTGGTCATACTCTTGAGCCATTTTGGCCTGAATCACACTCAAGTTTTTGTTCCTTTTGTGAAGAGGACAATAATACTACAAGAAGAAACGCAGCAAATTGTAGAATTGTTGGTCCTATTTTTATTACTATTGGCTTCCTGTTATTGGTCTTCACAGTCGTTTACTTCAAAAAGAAAAATTCTGAAGCTCTGGCTGCTAATGGGAATAGCAATTATTATGGTGAGCCAGCACCAACAACATTGGCTTATAACCAAGCTGGCCAGTCTGTTAATGTGCCATATCCAGGAACTGGACACATTCAACCAAGTTGTCCTCAGCCACCATACCCCCCAACACAGCCTCAATACCCAGCATCCCAGCCTTACCCATCTGGAACCCCAAACTACTCAACTGCACCTCAGCCCTACCCAACTGCACCCCAATCTGGTACACCATACCCTCCATATCCAGAAACAACACAAGACAATTTGCCTCCACCACCTGCATATGATACTGTTGTTGGCAGTGAAGGAATTGGTGAAAAAAAACAATGAAAAAGACTTGCTAATAATCTTCAGCTGATGTTTGTCTCATGGGATGAACTATTAAAGAATAGTTAATGATGGTTAACAATATTTTATAATTAAATTAATATTTAACAATTATTCCCTGAAGGAGAAGTAAATATCGGGGAATATTTACCGAGACACGAGGTGATTATCGTGTGATAGTGTGAGTTTCTCGATCAATCAGCGCGAGAGATTTTCAATAATCACCTGTGCATTTTTACTAAGAATATTTAACAAAAAATACCCAAGGTACAGCTTTAAAGACTGAGACATTTAACACATATTGACTGAGACTGAGGGAAACAGTGTTTTTTGTGGTCCTGAGACAGCCATGTCGAGGGACCACAAAACACACTGCTTTCATAAGGTTCCAGTCAATAAGTGTTTTGTTATAAACAAACTGTCAAAGAATGCGAAGCAATTATTTTATAGTTTCAGATTATTTGATTTTTAAATCTTTTAAAATTTCCGGAAAATCATAATGATTTATGATAAGTAATTATATGTAATTATATTTTATCTTGGGTGTTGTTATTACCGGTCTGGTTATAGCATTGTTATATGGCTTATTTTAGATTTAATGAACAGAAAATGTACTTTACCTAGCATTTTCCCCCACCCTCCCTCCCTTCCATGTAGTTTGTGGCAAATCAAGTATCTGACAGACTGCGGACTTGCATTTTCCCCATAACTGTATTTGCTCTATTGGGAGTTTTGTTGCACATTGAATATATTACAACAGGGTGGCACAATAGGGGTTGGCATCAAGTCTCATGCATCAATATTTCTAACATTCAAGTGTCGAACACTTAAATTTTGAGGCACAAATGACAAATTTTACTGAATTTTGACTTTTCACAAAATTCAAATTAATCACTCATGATTCAAGTAATTTTCAAAAGAAGAATTGCACATCACAATAAAACTTGAATTACTGAATCATACTCTACATTTTACTATTTTCACTCCCGGGGAGGTGTGGGGGAGTACTCCCCTATATTTGCTATACCGGTACATGCCACTAAACAGGGTATGGTGTTCAGTGATTCTACTCTGAATCACCCCTAAAAAACTCCATTAATTTACTCGGTATTAGAACGCATCTAAAAGCATAATCCTTTATTGTTTCCTTCATTTTAGAACATATAAGTTCTGGGAGAAGATTCAAAATCACTTGATAACTCAAAAACTTAAGCGTACACACACCACAGGAGACCACAGGAATCCCATCGAACCCACAAAAAAATTAGTCTGGTAAGCCTGTGACTGGCTCTCCAGGAAGGAGACTGGGAAGGGGAAGAGGAGGCATTAAAACATTGGAATCCCAAGCTGGGTTTTTGTGYGATATATTTATACAGTGAATGTGTGTGGTTTAAATAAAAGGCTACAATTGTGCTTTTAATATGAAGATTTTTAAGGACAAAATGTTGAAAGTGTCAGTCAGACTTATATACATCAGTCTTACATAAGTGCTATACATTCAGACTGCAGGAAACCACTAGAGTTTCTTTCATCTTGCTATGCTCGTGCTTCCACTTGAGTTTTGAACATTTTAATTGACATCTTTATTCAATAACAGGACAGACAATTTAAATCTATGAGCGATTTTTTTTTTTTTCACAATGAAAATAAAAACATCTAAAAACTAGGAAAAAGTTTAAAAGAAAAATGGTTCCAAGCGTGCGTTGCATTTATCATTCTATGTGTTTGTGCTCTTATTGATCACAGCTGTCAGCCAATCAAATTGCAAAAATTGCTATGTTCGTTAAATGTGTTATAATATATGAGATATTGATGTAGACGCTTTCAACATTTTGTCTGGAAAAAAATTCATAGTTTAAACTGTACCCTATAGCACAAAAACTGGGAATATGACAAAGGTGGGGAAAAAATCCTTGAAAATTTATTGAGATTGGGCTACCTGTGTGTACTCGAGGGAAAATGGTTGGTATATAAGAATGCCTAGAATTATACTATCCCGCAATTTGGCTTTTCCTTCTACATTCTACAAGTTTCCTTACGCTAGATACACATTTAACAGATTCATTATGACTTCATGTAGGACAAATAACCGTAAAGTCGAGATATTATGCTCTTCCATGTCGTCAAATGTGGACAAGAAAGTAAGCCTGTCCATTCGAGGACTCGCCCCAAAACAGAAGATCACTCTACGAGCAAGACTGTGTGGAGACTCCAACGATAGATTTCGTTCGATAGCTTACTATCTTGCAGACAAAAATGGTCAAGTGAATTTGAACTCATCGGATTCTCTTGGAGGGTCATACACTGGCGTAGAGCCGATGGGTTTTATGTGGGCAATGAAACCTGAACCGGGTCAAAAACCCGGTAGAAGACTACTGAAAAGAGATGTGACAAAGCCTTATTTAGTAAATATCGATGTTCTGGATGGACATGTAGATGCTGACAATGAAGAGACACCATTATCTAGTTTGACAATCAAGAGGTATTACATGGGAAGTGGTGTTAGAAGGATTGAGGTGAAAGTTGGTCGGATCAGGGGGAGTCTGTTTTTGCCGCCTGGAGATGGGCCCTTCCAAGGTTGGTAACTTTATTGCCTAGGGAATGATAATGAACAGTTCTTTAGTAAGCCACATGAAGAATTTACTTCTGCAAAAACAAAATATTGAATGCTTTTGCTCAAAATTTCACTATACCCCCCCTCCCCCCCTTTCCAGGGACTGTTGTGAATTCATCCTTAGATAATTGCAATAGTGATGAGGGGGGCCAGGGTGAATAGGTCTACGAATCAGCAGATTTCGCAAATAATTTCAGAGTAAAATTTTAACAAATTGGTAGGTCCTATGAATCGAGAGGGTTGTGGATTTATCCACTTTTTTTATTCAGGATTTCAGTTTTTGCTCATTACGACCCCTTTTTCAGAAAGGTTTTATGTTCATTTTTATCTGCTGCGGGGGAAAAACAAGCAAACTGTCAAATTATTTGCAGATTTAGTTTTAACTCAACTTCTTAGGTGTCATTGATCTTCTTGGATCACATGGAGGACTAGTGGAATTCAAAGCAGCTCTGTTGGCCTCCAACGGCTTTGCAGCCATGGCATTAGCCTATTTTAATTACAGCGATCTGCCAAAGGCTTTACAAGAGATTGAACTTGAGTACTTCCAAGAAGCAGTGGAATGGTTGAAGAACCATCCTCAGGTACGACCAGGAGGTGTAGGAGTCTTAGGAATTTCAAAAGGAGCAGACATTATTTTACTCCTTGCTGCAAACTGTCCAGATGTAGCTGCAACCGTATGGGTGTCTGGTCACCATGGATTAGGTGTCTATCCCATGTATTACCAGGGAAAGCCTTTGGACTTCTATAAGTTTGTGCTCTCAAGATCAGTTGTCAAAGCAGATGGAAGCCTTGTTTGCAGGGATTGTACACCAGCCTTTGATGATGTAAAAGCAACTCCAGTAGAAAATATCAAGGGACAGTTACTTTTGGTATATGGTGCAGATGACCAAAATATGGACTCTGAATCTTCTGCTACAAAAATCTATGAGAGAATGAAAAGATTTGGTAAAGAGGCTCAGTGCTCCTTGCTTGGTTACCATGGTGCTGGACATTTGATTGAGCCACCTTACATTCCTCATGTGAATATGAGTTACCAAAAATCGTTTGATATTTGTCTCAATTGGGGAGGGGAAACCAAGGCACACGCTGCGGCACAGGAGCATTTTTGGGCTAAAACACTAACATTTTTTAAAGAGAATTTGCCTCAAAATCCATCAAGCAAACTATGATCGTGTTTAGACCCGATTCGCTCCCCAAAGCCATGACCATTGTCTGTCCATTTAGGAGCCTTAGAATAATACACACAGTAAAAAGTACAGTGGTACCTCTGCGAAGTGGACATCCTTGGGACCTTGCCTGGGGTCCACTGAATAGAGGTTTGTGATAAAATAAATACAATGTTTCTGATGTCAGTGATAACTGTATTTAGTGGTTTTCTGTTTAATGTGTAGTTCCACAAATTATCCATACCCCCCTATGAGATTTATTCTTGTTGAAGTAAAAGAAGACCAGTATATAATTTACAATATAACACCAGCAATCAACCTAATTCAATTATGAAGCACTTTCCGACTTATGATTCCTCTTTACAAGACGAACAGTGGGCAAAAAAACTTTCCACTACAGATCTGTCAAAATATAGAACGATTTACCCAAAGAAACAAAAGAAAATGCCACAGTAGAGCATTAAAAAACATTTTATTAACTATCAATTTTCAGAAATTTATGATCAACCTTTTTCTCTAGACAAATAGTTTTGCCTATCATATAATTATATTGCTTTCTAAATAGTCACATAATTATATTAGTTTAACATTTTTAAAAATTTTATTTTATATATATATACATCATATCTTCTTTTTTGTATTATTGTTATTATTATTATTATTGTTATTACATATTTTTATAGCTTATGAACATTTTAGCAGTAAATACAATTTAGTCAACTAGATATATTTATACATTTAGCTGATATAACATCTGCAATTGTTAATATTTCAAAAATATTATCCATATTATTCATCATATATTATTTTTTCATTGTTTTGGCCTGGACTTTTATTATGCAACAGCCATGTTTATTGATGTCACAATAAAAAGCCTTTTTTAACTACATAGACCCATCCTCAGGGTTCGTGCTGAAGTAACCGTTAACTGAGTATGCAAGGACCCAAAAATGATTTTTCAAGGAGTATGTTCAGCTAAATATGCCAAGGTTTTACACGTTGGTTGCACATGGCCGACTTTCAGATTTTCCAATCTTTCTGACTAGATCTATTTCAGAACCATGCCAGTAATGATCAAAGCAACAATTCAAAGAGTTTTCAAGGAGTTCCGCTAATATCATAAAATTCAAGAGCTTTTCAAGTGCCCTTGAAAACGTGAATTAAATTCAAGGAGTTT